GATCTGCTCAGGTCCCTTCTGACCCTAGAAACTATGAAATATCTTCTGAAGAATTTAACTTTCAGGGTGTAAACAGGTACAGCACATGCCATTTCTCTGGGGAGAGAGCCTTTTGTCCTGGGATCCTTCAGAGGTACCAATGTATTGTTCTGCTTTAAGTACCTGTGAAATATACAAGATAAAATGTTCTAGCACATCCTCTCCCCACACTCCCAACAGTGCTCTGTAATCTTAAATTATTTTCATCTTATTCAAGTTAATTGCCAATTGTTCCAGGGACCAGGCTGTTAGGTTGTGTGCTCTCCCTGGCTACCTACTCGTAGAGGAGCAACAATACAGCTTGGGAGGGCTATGGAGGTAAAAGGGCAGCACTGCTTCTGTTTTTCACTTTGTCCCAGGTTTTCACTTGGATCAAGGCCTTATACAGATGTTCAGTATCTCCTGAAACAATCACTGCTGTCCCAGTAGAGACCAAGAGTGTACAGATGTTCAGGATTTTTCTCCAAGAGCAAAAATGTCTATTCCAGGAGAAAAATAACCTGGGAACAACCAAAGCTAAATCACTCTTGGGAGAGTTTTCCAGCATCGGAGCACACTGACGTGTGCACAGGGACCCCCTGAGTGAATAGCATCTGCACTGCAAGCTCTGTGCTCTTCAGGGGCTTAGCATTTGAATGTCTGCTCAGGGATCTCCAGGTATCTTCTATTAGGAAAGCAAATCCACAATAATTATTCCAGATCATTTGACTGTGTGCATGCAGCCCAAATCGGGGCTGCTTCGAATGAGACCTCTGTTTAGAGCCTCAGTTAGTCATATCCTTATCAAAACAAACAGATGAACCCAGAACTGGTTTTATGCAGATATCAACAGCACATTTAGATTGCATAATAAATACTGTTATATAATAATTTGTCATTTCTTCAGTCTTTCTTTTTTTAATTCAAAAACATTTTTAGAGTAGAAAAATGGATTAGGTTTTGGAAGATGCAAATTTCTGCATAGGCCAACAAGTTTTAATTTCCATGTTCTCTATTTATCTCTCTCTTAGATTGAAAAACTGCCAGATGGATTATTTCAGTGCAAAAAACTACAGTATTTACTTCTGGGAAATAACAGCCTGATGAGTTTGTCCCCTCTTGTTGGTCAGCTGTTGAACCTCATTCAGCTAGAGCTTGTTGGAAATTACCTTGAATCACTTCCTGCTGAACTGGAAGAATGTCAGTTTCTGAAACGGAGCTGTCTAATTGTAGAAGAGAGCCTGCTGAAAACACTTCCGCTTTGTGTAAGAGAGCGCCTGCAAATGTGTGTGGATAAATAAGATGAGACTCTGTATGTCATCAAATACTTCAGGCCTTTTACTTAATATTTCTATAAAGATAGGTTCAGGTGAAAGATGAGAGAGAGAAGTAGCCTAGTTTACAATTCATACCTAAAACATATATGTATTGATCTGAGTAATTTTTAGTAAAAAGGAAACATTTACACATTTAGTCTTAAGTAATGTATAGATTAGCAGGTAATTGCATCTTTGTGAATAACCTTAAATGTAAATTATTGGGGCTCTCCTGGCTGATATGCTTAGGGTAGTAAATGTTTGTGGGCATGAGTGTTGCTGTTGAAGAACTGGTTACCTGGATGTAGTGAGTGTCTCTTTATTTTGGGGGAGGCAGAGAATTTTTTCTCTTGAGAACAGCCATGCTAAACACCTTTGTCTCTCACCATTCTGGGGTCAAGAATTACCCATATTACTTTTTTTTTCTTCCAAATATGAATTCTTTACTGACTTAGGAGTAGCACGTGTTCATTTAGGTCTAACCTATTTAAATAAAATTGTTATTTTTTCAGTTTCATGGAGCTTCTTGGAAATCATTTTGCAACTTACAAAAAATCATATTTAAAGTATATGGTCAGCACTTGCCCCAGTCTTGTAGCTTTGGGAGATGCCACTTGATTTAATATAAAAATGATAGGATGATTATTCTTCATATCCTCTTGTAAACTGCTTCAGTATTTTATGTCTTTTTAGACTAGGAAAAAATGTGATAACTAACAATGTACCTAGTAAATGGGATTAAAATTTAGTTTGTTCTGATTTTATTTCTCTCTCTCTCTCAAAAAAAACCTTGTGTATTCAAGTGGTGGCTGCTAATATAGCAAAATTACCTTGCTTTGTATACATGTTCTTAACTGTGGCAACAAGCAGATCATATTTCTTAGTATTTATCTTCATAGAGAATTATGGCAAATAAGAACAGTTACAATCTGTTTTGGCAATCCCAAATATCACTATGGTGTTTTCCCATTTGCCACTTACACATCCATTTATCAGTGCTTATCTCTGTCCCTCCAGTTGGTCTGTTTAGTGTGCTGGTGGGTAGGGAAATCTTGCATCAAAGATAAATGGATGGGGAAGCACAGGCACAGTTAAAACCAAGCCACACAATTCATAAATACTTAAAAACAAAACTGAACCAAATGAATTGCAATGCCACTGTAAACTTTCCTCCACTCAGTGATATAATTTCACAAATTGTGTGAAGGGGGATATATGATCTTTTATAATCCCATCCTTTAATGTTTGTTAAAATGGATGGAAATAAAATGGATGTAGATTTTATACATTTTTTCTGTATACTTTGTTTCATTATCTATTTCTAAGGTTTTATTCTACTGACATTTCTCATAACAACCAATATATATTTTTTTGCCTCTGATGGATGCATTTAAAATTGTTAGCATGTTTTCAGGAGCATACATCAGTAATACTTTTAATTTTATATGCTTAAAATTCAAATATAAAATATGGACTAGTGTTTATTTTTAAGCAAATAAAATGCTGAAAATTTTGATTAAGTAATATTCTTGATGTTTAGTAAACATACTTTGATATTTGTCTTTAAATCATCAGGGGAGGATTAACATATATGGTATATTTTTTAAAAACTGCTCCCATTACCAGTATCATTGTTCTGGGGCCTAAGAATTACCTTTTTTAAAATTCATGTAGTGAGAGTCTGGTCTCCTAAACTGAAATAAAAGGTGTCTCTTTAGTAACTTTCCAAGAAGTTCGTGTTATTCCTCATACTAATTCTATTGCATATACCTTTCTAAACAGAATTTTCTTCTCAGGGAACCAAAAATGTGTTGCAACCTAATGGATTTTATGTATTTTTAAGTCTTTGATTTTACTAAACATTTGTATTATGAAATGTTTTGTATAAACTGATCAGTCAGATCTGAATGCTAAGCAGTATAGTATCTTGTAGTTTCTGTGTTCAGTTTTTCCAATATTAGTTCAAGGTATAATTTTTATGGCTCATAATATTTCCTGGGTACTTACATAGTACATAAATAGTGAGCTGGGTCTTGGCATATTGCATCAGAATAGAACAGCCTGTGCCATTCTAATTAAAGTTTTGGTAATAGTTGCAATATAAACTAGATGTGTCAAGGCTCTAGGTTTTGGAATCAGATTGTGCAAGAACTTGACTTTGGACCTAGTACATTTAAAAAAACAAAAAAATTACCCAAGTAGATTGATTTTAGAAATATTTGCTTGGGTCCAAAGCTTCATTTCATTGCTATGCTGAAAAGCAGTACCAATACTTAAAAGGTCATACACATATACACACTATATGTTTAATATTTTAAAGCTTTTTTTTTTTTTTTTTTTTTTTTTTTTAAATTTTTAAAACTTTTTTTTTTTTTTTAAATTTTTAAAACTTTTTTTTTTTTTTTAAATTTTTAAAACTTTTTTTTTTTTTTTAAATTTTTAAAAATTTTTTTTTTTTTTTTTTTTTTTTTTTTAAAGCTCTGTAACTCCTTATTTTTCATGACTGGTGCACTGACAGCCTTACAGTGGCTGTGACCTATTCAGTATACATTTACCCAGAGTTTGTCCTATTTAAACGGGAAATAGATTAACAGGGAAATAATGTAGGCCCTATACAGATGTTCATTTTCTATGCTCCTGTTTCTAATTGCCACTCTCTCCTGGCAGAAACTAGAGGTGTACAGACATTCCAGCTTTTTCTCCCGGAGCAAAAAAGCCTATTTGGGTGAAAAATAATCTGACTACAGTTGGTTAGAAATCCTGGGAGAATGAATGTTTGCACACTTTCCTGTGGCTTTTCTCCTCGCAGGAACCAAGAGAAATAAAGCTACGGGGAAAGGCTCCCATGCCTTCCTAAGATAGGATCACTTCTGGTGAAGGTGGGGGGTAGGGAAGAGGCAGCTGCTCCTGCCCCTCCTATAGACCAGGAGGGGAGGAAACGAGCAGCTGCCAGCTGCTCTGTACCTGCTTTTCACTCCTGGAGCACCCCCAGTGTGAGAAGTGAACAGCAGACTTGGCCCTGCTGCTCCAGTCTGGGAACAGGAAGACTAGAGCGAGCCACACTTTTAACAGCCTGAGATCACCCTGGTTTCAGGAATGTGTAGGGGAAAGGAGGTGGCTACAGACTGAATGTTTGTACTGCCCCTTCTGGAATCATTCCTGGCAGTGGAAATGTTCCAACACTAGAAATGAATATTTGTACCTGGCCTTAGAAACTTACATACATTTTAGAAATGTAAGCTAACTAAAAGTAGTTGGGAAAACTGTCTATAGAAGAACTGCAAAATTAGACCCCTAAATGCTACTGTTTCTGGGTGGAGCCTGTTTAAAAAAACAAAACAATAAAATCAGCACCTGCATTGCATACATTTTTGACATACCTTCTACCTCCTCTTTTAAAGGGGGCATGAACACCTCACCTTTCAAAATAATATGAATGTTATGACATCCTGACAAAAGCCAAGAAGCCTAAAGGCTAATATCCCTGGCCTTAACTCAGACCATGGTGTGCCTTTTTGTTTTCCTGTTTTCTAGCTTTGTGCTTTTTCCCCATGGGCAAATCCAGGATTGCAGCAGGGGGGGTGACCATACCCACTAAAGCTGCATAGCATGTGCAGTGAAAACCGCTCATTGTGCATGTGCCACACACCTGAACGGAGTGTGGGCACAGCCCCCCACTATGATCCTGCATGCCAGTGGAGTGAGAGCAAATGGACATATCAGTGCAGGTCCTGCCATTGGTCTGCATATTCTGTGAACACTAAGCTCACCAGCGAGGGGGTCTGCTTTCAGCTCCAAAGCCTTTTGTTTTTTGCTTTGTGCCCCCCACCCCTTGTCCCCTGAATTCAGCAGTAGGAGAAGGGAAGGGATGAACAGCACAGAGCTCCTGGGCTTTGTGAAAAACAGGGGCTCCGCTTCAGGCATCTGCCTCCTTTCCCCAGTTGCTGAATTTAAGATGGGAGGAGGGGAAGGGGAAGAGCAAACAGCAGCAGGCTTCATAGCTGCTTGAAAGCAAGAACCCCATGCCAACCAGCTGGTGAGCTTCCAGAGCTCCCAGCACATGCAGAGCTCCCAGCAGGAGCTGTGCTGACCTGCCAGTGAGCTCTGAGCTTACTGGGCACATGGTGCACAGCCAAGGGAAGGTGCAACTGTACCCCTTTTGGATCCACCTCTGCTTTTCCCCTACTGCTGAGCATTTGAGTATGGAGTCAGTCATAGCTCTGAACTTCAGATTTATTTTAGCCATCTTCTTAATATTGAATATTTGTTCAGAATTAAGGTATCTTCAAGGAATCAGTATTAATCCATTCTGCTATCTACTGTACAACAAGCTGTAGCGACATCTACCTTATTTGTATAAAGCTGATAACAGCAGAATGTCTTTTCAGTTTGTTTCAGTACTGTTGTGGTGTTAACAATTTTTGTATTAATTGTGAACTTTCTTTGGTTGAGAAATAATTAAATATTTTGCATTACAGTCTTATGAACTTTTCTTTATTTCCCTATCAACATACACATCCCTGACAGCAAGTTTCCCCACCCTTGTTGCGTGGAGTTTAGTCACCAGATTTTTTTTGTTCTTAAATGCAAGGAACTTGGTTAAGTACATGTATTCTCTCCGTTCAGTTAAGAAAATATACCACTTGATCAGTTTGTTTGTTTTTTTTCTTTTTAATGAATTTAAAATTTAGGTGTCAATGGTTGTGAACACTTCTAAGACTGTAGCATTATAGAGGTACTGAGGTAGCATTGTGACTTCTAGTTGGCTTTACTTTCTTGAATTTTATTTGTCAAAAGAAGAAAAATTGCAAAATAATCCACTTGCTATGTAGTAGTGGTACAGACTTTCTAAAGTTGGATAATCTGCCCAATGCTGCTTAGTTTATTTAATTATGGCCTCCATAGGCAACAAGTGTGCATCTGTAACTTATTCTTGACCTCTAGTATTTCCAGTAACACACTTTTGTCTTTTTTTTTTCTAATGGGACATGGCCCTTGCAAAATGCCACATATAAGCCCAAGTTCCAGTTCTTAGGGCTGGTGCTAGCCTAACAATAGTCTGCCAGGCAAATGGTCTCGAAATATTAACTTTTCGGGGAATCTGTGAAAGAAAGCACCATACCAGTGCTGGGAGCTTTACATGGGTGGGGTCTAAGCACTTCTCAGGCATTTGGCTGCATTACAAAAATAAAAAAAAACCTCCTCTTGTGTTGATGGAAGTTACTTGGACTCTCTAAGGACTAGCCTATATTCGTTGCAGAAGTGAATTTGGTATGTATAATTCTGGATAGCTAATCTCATTTGTGATCACTCATACCACTGAGCCAGACTTCTGTCCTGCCCCTGTAGCTGTGTCTGTAGCACTGAAGACCTTGCCTTAGCTTCTAGGATTTCTAATGATTCCCCTTAGTCCTTAGTACTACACTAACTTGAGGTGCTCTAGGAATTTACTTTGTAGCATACTGTGGAGAAAACTTGTCCCTCTGGCTGGAAATGCTCTTCTCCCACCAGCACAAGGGACTTGAAGCACTTCTGGCTGTGTACGGACCCTTTTCCTGTCCTTTGTAACCAGTGCCAAGACTTTTGTTCTAGAAAACTACAAACTGTTCTTGCAACATTGTTGCAACAGAGTATAGCTAGAAGTAGTGCAGGACCACTGACCGTGTGTAGTGGACATGGGGTTTTGGATAAACAGCAGTGACACCAGAGCTTTCACATAAGGGTACTTCCTTCATGTCGATGCAAGAGCAGCATGTTCAACCCTTCATTGCTGGACTGTGCAGATAAGGGTAGGCCAGGAACTCTGTTTCTGTCTGGAAACTTGTTATCCTAGCCTGTAACATGTCAGTGACTAATCAGTTGGTGCTGGCAAATCAAGAATGCTGTTGTACTTTCTAAAGAAGTTTCTATTGTCCAACTCTTGGTAGTAGATAGAGGTAGTATATATGAAATAATTTTTGTGAGGTGTTCATCTGGACTGGCACTAGGGCCATTGTTCTTATAGTCTTTGCTGATCATTACATCTTTTTAAGTCCTGCAGAATAATCCCTGTACTCCAGAACCAAAATTAAATTTTGTATAGATGCTTACTCAGGAGCATGTGACTGATTTTATATATTTCAGCAGTGATGCTATCCTTCTGGAAAATTATTTCTCAAATTCTCTTCAACCTGGCTGCTGCTGCACCTTGTAGAAAGGAAGCTTCCAGAATCGCATGGTATGTTTCAGACAAACAACAGAACAGTAAACCTGATTTCTGTTGCTCAGGAAATCCAGAAAAGCTAACAGCAAAATCTTGATTTTTACATAGATTTTACCTATTTGAGAAAAACTGACACAATGAGCCAATTTGAACTTCAGAAGCTGTGGGAAGCCTTTGACTATTCGAATAGGTCTGTCAGTCCTGAAATAGCTTCATGATGGCATGTGCGGCAGAGTAAAAGTCAATGTCGCTCTATCTGACCCCTTCTCTCTGACGAGCAGAGTCAAACAAGGATGTGTCATAGGGCAAAACCTGTTTGTGCTTTTATACAGAGTGGTGTTATACAAGATGTCTGTAACCTTAATTCAGGCAGGGCCATCCTTAGGAGGGGTGAATCAGGGTGACCGCCCTGGGCCCTGCACTTCGGGGGGGGCCACAGAGCTGAATGGAGTGGCCATGGTGACTCTGCGCTGCTGTCAGCTTCACGTCTGGCTGCTCAGCATCGCCCCCTCACCACCCTGCTTGGGTTGTCTCTGAATGCAGGCACTGAAATTTGCTTCTGAACTGCAGTTTAGCCTCTGCCGACTGCTATGTCTAGAGTTCCCAAACAGACTATACAGAAACTCTGAAGGAGCTGTTACGTCGGTGATGGAATGTATTCTAGCTGCCTGTTCCAGGAAAGATCTTCAGGCATTGGTAGATTGTTTTGCTCTGTTCAACCAGCTTTGAACTAACCATCAGTTTGAGATTGTGTCACTCAGCCTTTGTACGAGAGTATAGTGCTACTTCCACATTCGTCAGCACAGCCGAGATTCTGATAATTCGTGAGTTGGCTTATCTTGAAAGATATTGAATGATTAGTGTTCCGCATTTTCAGTTTTTACTGAATTTTGGTGATAAATTACCTGATTTTTTTTAATTGAAGTTATATGGTTTTCATTAATTTAAACCCGTTTTTCAGTTCGCTCAATAATATTGTACCGGGTGTTTATTTTTATGAAATGCCATCCTGATAAATGGTTTTGTATTGCAGCACTAAAGCTGAAGCAATTCTTAAATGTAAAACTCACTCCAGATGCACAATGGAGCCAGTCAGATTAAACCATGACAATATCACTCCATGATTGGCTCGTGTGATATAAATAGGCACTTAGTGCTTCTGTTTAATGTGAGGCTGAATAAAAGCATACACAGAAAAAAAAATAAAAGATGGGTAGAAAGTGCAAATCTCTATGTGAATATATCCGTGAAAATCAGCGTTTAGAAGTTTTCAAAAGGAGTAAACAGGAAGGTGAAGAGGTTGCATTGCACTGCAAGTACTGCGTCATTGAAGTCAGTTCTCATGCGTACAGGATAAAAGAACATGTAGAAAGCAAGCAACACATTAAAATTAAAGAAGAATATGAGATTAGGAATAAACAGGCCATACGTGGAGCCTTTAACAGGGCATTAATGAAACAGAGAACCCGACATGACTGTTAACAAATTTGTACATGGTGGGCAACCACTGTTTCTCACCGTGGAACCGATCGGTGACTTTGTGCAACCATACTGTCCAGCAGCAAAAACTCTTCCTAATACAGACAACCTCACTTGTAAGTACCTGAGGGAAAATGACAGCTTTAGCATTTAAAGTGATTGAAAGAATTAATGGAAATGTGGTATCTAGTTTGGTTTTTGATGAATCCCCTGATGCGTTGGACCGTTCAATTCTTGGCCTTTTGTTTTTGTTTTTTGATTTCAAAGCCAAAAAGCCAGTATTGTTTTGTGCAGGTGTGACATTCATCCCATTTACTGACACCCCAAGCATCCATGCAGCAGTAAATCAGTGTTAGAGATGTACCAGCTGACTTGGGGAAAATGTGGCCACCACTAACACAGATTCTGCCTCCTGTGTGGCTAAGTTTTCCCAGGAGATGAAACTCAATCCAAAACTAGAGCTATTACAAGTTACTTGTCCTCATTTAATTCATGTTGTGCCATCATCAGCCACAGCTATTGAAGAAATGAGAGATGTGAAATCTTGTCGTTGGATTTGGGGCTGTTTTCAAGCATACAAACAAACAAGCTGAAGGCTTTGTTGTATGAAGTGTGAGATGACTGCAAACTTGACTGCTGATTACCGACTCCTGTTGTGCCGCATTCATGAATGAGTTTCTACCTGGCTTCATGTCATGTAAATAAGGCACAGACTGTGCTAATGCATATTTTAGATCACCCTGAGTTTGTCGGTGCTAAAGCAGAAACTCTAAAGAAACAGGCAAATAATCTCCATGACCACCAGATTCTGTGCACCAAGGTCATGTTCATTGTTGAGAACTTGGATTTGCTGTCTGAAAGGCAAAAAGCATTGGAGTTCTCCCCTGCTGCCACCAACACATTTTCTAATTCAGATGCTCACCACATACTGACAACCAAAATATCACCTGAATTAAACACACAAGCTGTAACAAAAATATACGGCAAGAAAACACAACTGTTTCTTGAAATCCTTCTGACCTTGGAACAAGAAAGAACCAAAAAAGCTTTCAGCGCCGAAAAAACTTCAACACTGTTCTCTGTGAAAAATGGCAGGCGACTGTAATGTGTAATTTGAACCCGAAGTGTTCGGCGCTGAAAATTCTTTTGACATTCTTTTTGGAACGTCATCCAGGTGTTGAACCACTTCCTCAAAGTGAATTTTGCAGCAGACTACAACCATTATGCCAGAGTGTTTCAACCATTTGCCACCAAAGATTAAATTTTGCATCTTAAAAGTGAATACACTACCTACGTGAACATGCCTATCCCTGACAATGTGGACCTGGATGTGCTGGCTTTTTGGAATATCCACTAAGACACACTTCCCAATTTTAGTAAAGTTGCACGATGAGCTTTGAGTGTACCCCCTGGATCAGTGGATGCAGAATGCTTATTTTCAAAAATGGACTACATCCAAGAGAGTAAGAGGCTCAGCATGAGTGAGGATACACTTAAGAAAGCCATGCGAGCCTATGTAAACCAGGATTTCTGGAAAAATTACTAGTTTTGATGGGACACAAAAATTAGGTTTGTATAAAAAAAAAAAAAAAAAGTTTAACCTTTCTTACCATTTTCATTCTTTTTCTAATAATTCAAAATCAGTTTATGAAAACCTGAGTTTTTACACATAAAAGTAAGAAAAGTATTGTTGGAGAAAAGTAGGACTTTATTTTTATTTTTTAAATCCTTGTCAGCATACTAAAAAGTATGTATGTATATATTTATTATTATTATTTTCCCCGATTTAAAATTTTTTTTTTTCTTTTCAACCTTTTTGTTTGTTTGGAAGTTAATCCCTGAAAAATTCCTAGAATTTTTTTTTTAATAAAAACCAAAAATACAGAACACTATGAGTGATCAGTCATGGATCTAGTAGTCTCGCATCCAAAAAAGCCGGTGTAACACTTGTAAGCCTTACAGAAGCACTATACAGAATCAAGTTTTGCAAATCAATTTAAGGTGTAAAAGGTATTGTGCTTACAGGTGGGTGGGGGTGATTCATCAACTGGCGAAGTCTCAACAGAGCCAACTTGCCACCCTTTCCTGACTGCGGTGGTATACTGACCAGTGACAAAAACCTGTAGTGAGCTGACTGCATATCCACCAAGGTATTAATAATGAAGACCCAGCTGTGATAAGCCAGATGTGAGCTGTACAGCTGAACAGACAAGTACCCAACCAGCTCCTAGGCCAACCCGCAGTGTGGGTGCACAAGTACATGGGGACCCTCTGTAGGTGGTGTGTGACAAGCTGGGGTGGGTCCAGGCAATGAAGTGGCAGATAGGCAGGGAACAGAATGCTGAGCAGCAGATCAGGCAGGGAAAAGGGATTGAAGGGGCACTTAGGGAGGGTGCAGGGCTAATTTGTTGGTGGCACACCAACCAAAAAGTTTGGCCCCCAATGTCCTAGACAGTGATCTGGACCACAGCATAGTTGCCCAAGAAAACACTGCAGTATGCACTTGATAGAGTGCAACCCACTGGCTAACTCATTTGACCTTATAGGTAGACAAAGGAGAATACACGCTTTTTTGGACAGAAATGGGAGTGCTCTTGGGCAAGAAAAACATGCAAGTAAAAAGCTAAAACAGCAACAGCTGAGCAGCCTTTCAACTGCTGGAATTCATATTGTGAGAGAGCATCAGACTTACGTGGTACTGTTGCAAGAAGGTTTTGTACTCTTATCTCAGTGTTAAAATGTACGCTATGTAACTGACTGCTGCAAAGGAGAACATTTAGCAGCAGATAATCCTCTTGTCTGCAAGGAGGAACACCAACATTTACAGTTCTTTTAAACAAATAAGAGAGAATATAGAACTTCATACTGTGACCTTTTTCATTTAAAATGTTTTCTGTGGATATTGATTTTATAGCTAGCTATTTTAAAAATGAAAACCCTTCTGCTTGTTCCCATCATATAGTTTCATAGTTGGTAGGGTCGGAAGGGACCTGAGCAGATCATCAAGTCTGACCCCCTGCCATGGCAGGAAAGAGTACTGGGGTCAAATGACCCCAGCAAGGTGTACATCTAACCTCCTCTTAAAAACACGGAGGGTAGGAGCCAGCACCACTTCTCTTGGAAGTTGGTTCCAGATCCTAGCTGCCCTGACCGTGAAGTAGCGCCTCCTGATATCTAGCCTAAATCTACCCTCTGCCAGCTTGTGACCATTATTTCTAGTCACTCCTGGTAGTGCTCGGGGGAACAGGGACTTCCCCAGTGCCTGCTGGTCCCCTCTGACTAGTTTGTAAACGACCCCTAGATCTCCCCTCAGCCTCCTCTTGTAGAGGCTGAACAGGTTCAGGTCCCTCAGCCTCTCCTTGTAGGGCCTGCCCTGCTGCCCCCTGATCATGCGAGTGGCCCTCCTCTGGACCCTCTCCATGCCCTGGGACCTATGGGGGTCTCGGTGGGGGGTGTGACTCAGTCCCTGCGCAGAAAAATGGAGGCAAAGAAATCATTAAATAGGTTAGCTTTGCTGTCTGGTGCGACGACCAGATTACTTAGTGTGTCCTGTAGAGGCCCCACATTACCCACTACCTTCTTTTTACCCCTGATGTATTTAAAAAAGGACTTCTTGTTGTCCTTGATCCGGGTAGCTAGTCCCAGTTCCATCTCTGCCTTGGCCTCCCTGACTGCCCCCCTGCATCCCCGAGCAACCACAGTATAGTCCTCTCTGGTGATGGCCCCTCCCTTCCATTGGGTGTGCACCTCCTTTCTAGCTAGGAGACATTCCCAGATGCTTCTGGTGAGCCATGGGGGCTTTTGCACCATCTTGCCCCCTTTGATCCATGTTGGGATTACCTCCCTTTGGGCTTGGAGGATCATCTCCTTAAGGAACGACCACTCTTCTTGTACACCCGACTCCCCTCCCCTCCAGGACCTCAGTGTCTCCCTGACTATTCTCCCTACCTCATTGAAATCCACCCTCCTGAAGTCCAGGGCTGCTGCCTTGCTGTAGGCCTTTGCCACCTTGCGCTGGATGGTGAATTCCAGCAGGCAATGATTGCTGTCGCCCAGGTGGTCGAGCACCCGCAGCCCCCTCACCAGGTCGTCGCCCGTGGCCATGACCAGGTCCAACAAGGCGTGTCCCCTGGTAGGGCTGTGCACCTCCTGGGTTAGATGGAGGTCCTGTATCTCGGCTAGGAACCTACATGAGCAGTCAGACCTGGCTGACTGCTCTTCCCAGCAGATGTCTGGAAAGTTCAGGTCACCCATGATGACCACATCCTTTGACCTAAGTACCTCCATGAGCTGACTTAAGAATTCCTAGTCTAGCTCTTCCCTGTGGTCGGGTGGTCTGTAGTAGACCCCCACCGTTAAGTCCCTTTCCCCTCTACTGCCTTGTATTCTAACCCAGAGCACTTCCGTGTGCCCCTCCTCTGACCCAGTGTCACTCATTGAGGATGTGTATTTCTCCTTGACATAGAGCGCTACACCCCCACCTCTCCTCCCTGTCCTATCCCTCCTGTACAGCCTATAGCCCTTGATATTCACTGCCCAATCATGCGTTGGGTCGCACCACGTTTCTATGAGCCCCACTATGTCTGGGTTGGTGTTAGCTAGCAGGAGGGTGAGCTCGTCCTGCTTATTCCCCATACTATGAGCATTAGTGTAGAAGCATCCTGTTATTGTCCTGTTTAAAATACTGTACAACAGCCAGTTGGCAAATGCATGTGGTAATAACTGAAATGCTACTGACCCAAAGAAAAGATGACCACTCCCTCCATGCACAAACTTGTGCACACACACTTTGGCACTGTTCAGAACAACAAATTCAGGCGACTTTGTGCTGTGGCTAAAGTTGGGGGCAGTGAGTTCCATGCACAGGACTCTGCCAGCAGTTCCCTCTCTCATGCCAAGGGAGATCCAGCTTTTCTATCTGCTCTGTGACAGAATCTCTTGGAGCTGGGGTGGGTGCAGAGGGCAGAGAAGGGGCTAAGGAGTTTCTCAGGTAAGAAAGATCAGGCCAGCAGGCACCCTAAACCCCAGCTGGAAGCTGACTGCTAATGCAGATCAGAGAACACTTGGGGTCATATGCTTCAGAGACTGCTTTTTTTTTAACACCCTTCATTTCTAGCTGCTGTGCATTGTAGTAGCCTGGTCTGATGACAAGGACATAGTCTGGTGTAGATGGAAATGCAGTTTCTGCCACCACTGGGAATATAACCAGACCTCCAAATTGTGAGCTAGTGTAATACATTCTGGATGTACAACCTCAGGAGGCTGACATGTCTGCCAGATGGTCAATCAGCTTCTTCCCAACCTAACACAATACCCCTTAGTTTTATCTGCTGGTATACTGAGTCTTATTCATCTTGACCTAATCTCACTCAGACACTGAGGCATGCCTGTACGGCCTGGGGACCACATTAAGGGGTGCTGCAGTGAAATACACTGTGTCTACTCTATATGTTATCCCCTGAAACAGATGTAGGTGGATGTTGGCTGTGCGCCAGGAAGTACCCCAAAGAGAGCAAGCTTACTGAATCAAACCTAGCACAGCACTAAGGTAGATACATCATATCTGTTTCAAGGGTTAGTACACAGAGTGAGTGTAGAGTCTTTCACTGTGGCACTCTGGTGCACTCCTCGGGCACTGCAGACATACGCGGAGAAATAGTCAACTGTTTTCTCCCAGGCAAACCTTGTTTGGTGTAAGGAGTTCTCATTTAGTGATCTGATTTCTAGAGATGGCAACTCTGCAGGATGCTGAATAATTGCTTCTATAGAAATCCCACTGAAACCAGTGGGACCTAAGGGTATTCATACCTCTCACCATAATAAACAAATCTTTATATTTCTGCAAGATGTTTTCATGAAGATAGTTTGTAAAGATGGTGTTTGTTTTTCTGTTCTGTGGGTATAAATTACAACATATGCATGAAGAGAAAATGAGAACAAAACTTTTCTACTTAAAAAAATTGGCTAGAAAACAACCACGTCAAAGTCAAGAACAGAAAAATCTGATTTAAATTAAATCCATTTTAATGCCAAGGGTGTGTGGTTCTTGCTAATTTGGGAGTAGACAAATGGGATGGCCCTGATTACATAATACACTTTTCCTTCCAGCATTTCCATAACAGACTTTGTTAAGAAATTCTTAACATGAACTTCTAAATTTTTGACCCTTTCTTTTAGTCAAAACTGCCCTTTTCTGAATTTAAAAAATAGATTATAATGAGAATATTAACTACAGTAGCCTTCTATACATACAGATTGCTATAAGTACAGGCAAGGCTTTCTATGTTCCATAGGTCTTCTAATTGCATCACCATTCCCATTATAGTGGCCTAGATAGTCTATGATTAGGCCTGGAATTCAATTTTTTTTTTAATACTTCTGATGGATCATATCAATGTTTATTTTTAAGCATTTATTACAATTGTTATCAATTTAAATTTTCAGGATTGTGTAAAATCAAGGGTATTTGGAGTGGGGGGGTGGGGTGCAGACACTTTAACCACCCACTCCCACAGTCACAAATGTAAGTACTCTAGGACTGCCGCCACCTGAGTGGCAGAGCTGCCATCAGTCCCAGCTCCAGTTACCTGTAACTCCCTCACCTACTTTGTCACTACTTCTTCTTTTGTTGCCACTTGGGGTTGTCACCTGGGGTTTCTGGGAGTTGCAGACTAAAGCACCACCAGCACGGTTCTGTAGGACTGCTCCCCATGTAGTCACACAGGCTATCAGCCATCATTTTTCTTTTACTACTTTCCTATAAACTTTCATTATTAACAGCAGAAATAGTTTTCTGTTGGTTTGTAAGCATGAGGTGAAATCAACATTTATCAGTCTTTACTGTTAAAAATCAAATCCTGCTAAGCCTACCTACGATTCATTCCAATGTAGCAATGTTTTTGTGTTAGTAGTGTACAATTGCATTATACTGTTTCTCAGTAGAGAAGCCAGATACTTTAGGCAGATGGAGAAGATGGAGAAGTAGAATAAGCATAAACTGAATGTTCCTGACAATCAAAAGCAGATAAGCATTGA